TTTCCGGGCCGACGGGCTCGTGCGCGTGGCCGTGGGAGTGCGAGTGCCGGCCCTCCTGGACGGCCAGCATATCCAAGTGGGAGACGTGGTCGTGGCCCAGGTCCTCGTGGCTGATCTCCACTACTTTTATCTCTCCCAGGCCCAAGTTTGTTAAGAGTTTCTCCAGACCGAAAAAGGTTAATCTTCCGTTTTCGCCATAACGATCAAAGAGTCTTTCGATATAGTACCTCTGTTCGTTCTCGGCGTCCTGCACAGAGAACTTGCCGGGCTCCGGCTCCGTCATCCCGCGGTGGTGTCTGTGCAGCTCTTCCGGGCCATGGTCGTGCTCTTCATGGCAGTGGTTGCAGTGATGGAAGACAAACGTCAGCAGGCAGATAAGGCAGAACTTGGTGTGCACGTGTACCTTCATTTCTGCTTCTCCTGGAGAGGCAGAGAGACAAGCTTTAGTGTACCCCTGAGCACGCCTGAGGTATTCACTGTCTCCCCGGTCCCTTGACGTTTCTCAATCCGCCCTTGCCTCTCGATTTCCCGTTCAAAGTCCTTTTTCAGCTGCACGTGGCGGGGCTCACCTGTAACCCCAGGGAAGGGAAGCTGAGGCCGGAAGACTAAGAGTTTGGAACCAGGAAAAACTCAGTAAAACCCTGCCACAAAATAAAAATAAAATAGTACGGGATGTAACTAAGCACTTGTGTTCAACCCCCAGTACTGCCAAAAGAAGAGAGGGGAGGGCTTCTGACTAACGGGTACACATTGCTCAGCGCTCCAGTCTACCGCCACCCCTCGTTTATGGACGGTTACCCGCTGCTTTCCTATCTGGTGCTTTATAAAGTCTGATGATATCTGCACAAGGAGCAACCAACTGGTCAGTAAAATAACGCAAAAAGATGTTACAATGATAAAAATGCATAAGAATCAGGAAAAAAACTGTCATTACTCATAAGTGACAGAATTTCATATGCAGAAAATCTAAAAGAATCTCTAAGGTTAATTTTGTACTGCTGCTAGATATGAGAAAAACAGTCTAAACCAGTTTTATTTTTATGTACCAGAAAAATTAAGAGAATCAAATGGTGAGTAGTACCGCTTATAAGAGCAAATAAAAAGGAATAAGCCTAACAACAGATGTTTAAGACCTTTCCACAGAAAAGCACCACGTGAAAGCCCTAAACAGATGGCTGTATCATTTTTATGACTGGATGAACCACAGATTCAAAACAATCCCAATCAAAGTCTCAGAAGTTATTCTGTAAAAACAGGTGAGCAGTGGTTCTGTCGCCTGCCTCACAAGTGCAAGGACCAGATCCCCAGTACCAAACAACAACAACAACAACAACAACAAACAAAACAGCTGAGCTAGTTTTAATATTTATGAGGAAACCAGAAAGGGTCAAAGACAGCCAAGATGCTCTTGAGGAAAAGATGAAGCACTTGCTGCACCACTGATAAAAGACAGTGTGCTATTCAGTACATGAACAACATGGCCAAAGGAACAAAGGCTCTAAAAGCAGGAAAGATATTCTTTTCCTTGCTGCTTGGTCAATTAGATTTCCATGTAGAAGAAAAGTAAAACTGGACTCCTACAAAAAATCAGTTATAGACCATCAACCTAAATGTGAGACCATAAATATTAAAACAATAAAGAACTGTGCTGTCCCATGTAGTAAATATATGGGGATTTAAGTCGAATCAACCAGAATCAAATGAAAAATTCAGCCTTGCAGTTCCCCTACCTACACTTTACATGTTCAATATCCACATATAGCTAATGTCTACCATCCTAAATTGCAGGTTATGGAGGATGTCTTTCATTACAGAAAGTTCTGAGGCCAGCACACTTCCAGAATACAGAAATATAAAGTAATTATATAATTCTTAAGCTTTCTAGAACAAATGAAATTAACTTCATATCACAGTCTAGTTAACCCTTTATATACGAAATGTATTCTTTTAATGCTATGATTTTTAAATAGGCATGTATTTTACAGTTACCACAACTCATGCTCACTGTATCTTAAATGCCCAATGGCCATAAGTGGTTCCTGACCTCTGTTAGGATTTATATTTGGATTTATCTATGGAAGTAATTTTAAGACCTTTAAGATAGGACACAGCTGGTGTAGTGGTCCACACCTGTAATCTCAGCTACTTCAGAGGCTGAGGCAGGAAGTTCCCAAGGACAAACCCAGTTTGGGGAACTCATCAAGACCCTGTAACAAAATAAAATTTTGAAAATGGGATGGAGATGTAGCTCAGTGATAGCTCAGTGGGTTGCCTAGAATGCACAATTCCCAGTACTAGAGTCCCCAGTACTGCAAAATGAATGAAGGAACAAACCAAGAGGCAAGCCATGGGTTAAGAGAGAACTATCACAACGTACAATCCAGAATTTTTAAGGAACTCCTAAAAATCAATATAAAGATGCCCAACAAATAATCTTGAAGTACCTCATAAAAGTAGCCAATTACTTAGAAGCACATGATCTGTCATTAGGGAAATTTAAATTAAAAGTCAAATTAGATACTCCAACAATCTCAGCAAAAGACTAAACATAAGACTGCCAATAACAAAAGTAGGCAAGGATGTGGTGTTATGTGACACTTGCGTGCACTGTGACAGTGGAGATGGACTCCAGGAAAACTCAGGATGTGGCAAAAGCTGAACGTTAAGCGCGTCCACCCACAGTTATTCCATTCCTGAGCGACACACGTGGACACCAGAAGACATCAACATGAATGTTCTAAGCTCGTTACTTATCAGGCCCCAAACTGGAAAGAAAACCTAAGCGACCCTCAACAGCAGAATGAGTATATGAGACAGAAGCACCTTGCCGTGGACACCATAGAGGAATGAAGGTGGCCGGCAGCTTCGCACAGAGGCAGAGGTGAGTTTTACAGTCCCGAGGTGGGTAAGAGATGAGAAACATGGAAGAAAATTGTATATATGATATTTAAAGTTAAAAATAAGCAAAACTAGACCAAGGTAATTACTACTTTTTGAAAAGGCAGGAGATAATAACCGGGAAGAGACCACACTACAGGGATTCAAAGTGTGGTGATGCCCCTTCTTGAGGAGTGTTATGTAGGTTAATTTTGAGACAATCTGTGGCACTGTGCTCTGTCAATTTCCTGAACACATCACGTTCAACTAAAAGGCCTTTTTTATTTAAGTTCTGGAGATTGAATCCAGGGCCGTGAGCACGTCAAGCACATATTCTACCAGAGACTGAGCTATACCCCCCCAATGCTAAAACACAGTAAATATCAATATTTCCCCAGTGAAAACCAACTGGAAAATGTATTTACATTCAAAATTATATGGTTCCTTGAAATAGAGTAAGAGAATAAGGCATACAAAATACATTAAAAGCAAAATTCTGTAAGACATTATTAAAGCACAATAAAGTGCAAAAGCTATATATAAACTTTTTTTTTTGTACTGGGGATCGAACTCAGAACCTTGTGTTTGCAGAGGCAGGCATAGCACCACTGAGCTAAACCCTCGCCCAACTATATACAAATCTAATTCAAGGCCAATCAACATCCTGGTAGCTTGGTAGTGGGTTATTTTGTTTCATGTGCGACCTGACAAGCAAAAGTTCTTAGGAAAAAACAAGTACCAAGTACTATCAAGAAAATCCAGAGTAGTGACATTAACAAACTTCTTTTCACGAAGTTATACTAACTGAAATAACAGAATTGGCACAGGGCCAGAGGGGGGAAAAAATCACCCTTAGAACAGAACAGAACAGAGTTCAGACAGCAAATCAATATCATAGACTGTAAAAATGGTCCTTCACACTACAAGTCAATTCCAAGAAAGATCTCTATGTCAAAAGCCAAATTCTTAACAAGCTTTATTAAAAAATAGAGTATGTCACTATGACTTGGGTTGGAGAAAAGACTTTTTAAACAAAACAACACAATACTAAACATTTTTTTGATAAACTAAATTCTTGAAAAATTACAAGAATGCCATAAACAATGCTTATGACAAACCTTATACTAGAAGACAATTTGCAATTATGTATGTAAACAATGCATATAAAAAATCAGATTCAAAATATATAAAATGTACATCAGTAAGGAAAAAACTGTATATTCATTACACAGACAACTACACAAAAGATACACATGGGTGGGCTAATAAAAATATAGAATGTGCTTAAGTAATAATGAAAAAACATTAAAGTGCTATATGGCCATTAATTCCTTCAAAAACTCCCTTATCCACTGTGTAGTGGGCAACCTGGCCCAGTTTAATGGCAGGCTGCAAGTGGCACAAGCTTCTTGTGTCCCCATGACAGGCTGTACTGTATTAGGAGTCTGCGTGACAATGTGACTCACACGGGCATGTCAGATGGCAGAGCTGGGCGAGCGCAGCTCTTCTGCCAAAGGCTGCCTCAGAGAATCAGTCCTGCTCTGTGAGGCGGAAGGGCCCTGGTGAGCTAACACCCAGCCCAGGTCAGTGTGACCCGAACTTTCTCTGAATTATGGCCTCCCTCACTGACCTGATGGGTTACTTGTTATTACAACCGAGTCCTGGTCTCCATTTGTTTTCTCCTGCCAAAAGCAGCATCCCCCTCTTACAGCCCTGCCTGTGATGACCACTATGGCCAGATGCCTCACACGCTATCGTCAGGAGTCTCACTGCACCCTGCCCTACTTCTCCCCATGCTTCTGACGATACTGGAGGTCTCGGGGGGCCTTTTGTCTTTGTTGCCCGGAGCAGCTTAGACCACCCCAGATCCTCTTTCTCGTGAACTCTCTTTTCTGTGTCTTCTTTGGCTTTCTCACCTGTGCCTTACTGCCTTGCAGGAGACTGAGACCCACCGCCGGGGACCTTGGAAATTATCCAACAGGAAGGCAGGCTTGTAAAAATCTGACACTGTCCTCATCCACCTTATTCACTGGAAAGTCAAAATGACCACAGAAGGTAAACATTTTGAATCGTTTCGGTGCATTGAGGAGGCCAACACAGCGCAACTAAAGGCCATCATGAACAGAAAAATCAGTTCTAATAATCTAGACAAGGAGAATCGAGATAATGCTCCAACGCACAAACAGGAGACACTGACAATACCGTCACTGAGACTGGACAATGCTAACAAGTAGTGCTGGTGGAAGGATGTACCAGGCTGAATACGAACACATTCGACTTTTGTGAAACGTGCATTTGGCACGAGGGAACGATTTCAAGAATCTTTACTGTAATACTTTTTTTTTTAATGTAAACGATCTTGTACCATGATGCTTTGGTTCTAAGTAACCAAACAGTCAACTAAAGCTGGTTATATCAAAGAAAACTTTCACATAAAAAGGAGCTGGGAGCATGGATGATCTGTTGCAGTATCAGACACCAACTAGGTCACGCTGGGGTCTGTAATTCACATCTCACCATAACCGCTACTGCTGTTACAACCA